AGCCGGGGAGGGAGGGCGTGTGAGGGCGCCCTGCGGAGGAGGGACTGTGTGTGTGTGTGAGTGTTCTTGGGTGTAATGCTGTGTATTTTTTTGGGTGGTGTTTTTTTTGTGGTGTTGTTATTGTGGAGTGTCAAATTATGGTGTTTTTTTATGTGGTTTTGTTGTTCTTGAGTGTGCAGGTTTGTATTATTATTATTATTTTTTTGTTGTTGTTGTTGTTGTTGTTGTTGTTGTTGTTGTTGTTGTTGTTGTTGTTGTTGTTGTTGTTGTTGTTGTTGTTGTTGTTGTTGTTGTTGTTGTTGTTGTTGTTGTTGTTGTTGTTGTTGTTGTTGTTGTTGTTGTTGTTGTTGTTGTTGTTGTTGTTGTTGTTGTTGTTGTTGTTGTTGTTGTTGTTGTTGTTGTTGTTGTTGTTGTTGTTGTTGTTGTTGTTGTTGTTGTTGTTGTTGTTGTTGTTGTTGTTGTTGTTGTTGTTGTTGTTGTTGTTGTTGTTGTTGTTGTTGTTGTTGTTGTTGTTGTTGTTGTTGTTGTTGTTGTTGTTGTTGTTGTTGTTGTTGTTGTTGTTGTTGTTGTTGTTGTTGTTGTTGTTGTTGTTGTTGTTGTTGTTGTTGTTGTTGTTGTTGTTGTTGTTGTTGTTGTTGTTGTTGTTGTTGTTGTTGTTGTTGTTGTTGTTGTTGTTGTTGTTGTTGTTGTTGTTGTTGTTGTTGTATTTTTTATATATATATAACAACGCTTTCTGTTGTATCTCTCTCTCTCTCTCTCTCTCTCTCTCTCTCTCTCTCTCTCTCTCTCTCTCTCTCTCTCTCTCTCACACACACACACACACACACACACACACACACACACACACACACACACACACACACACACACACACACACACACACACACACACACCGACGCACATACATACATATACAATAGAGGTATTTGTGTGAGTCAGAGTGAGTTACCGTTTGTCTATTTGTTTCTTATGGCGGACTTTTTTCGAGATTTTGTTATATACATTTTCCAACCATTTCTGAGTATTTTTCTATTGGACTTTTGTTCATCTGTTGACACGTTAAAGGTTAATCGTTTTTTTTTTTTATTTTTTTATCTAACGGTGAGTGTGTACTAACAATGCTGTGTGTTATAAATCGGTTGATTGTGTAGGTATTTCTCTCCCTCCCTGTCTCTCCTTTCTGACAGTCTACTTTTACCACTTACTTTCTCTCTCTCTCTCTCTCTCTCTCTCTCTCTCTCTCTCTCTCTCTCTCTCTCTCTCTCTCTCTCTCTCTCTCTCTCTCGCTCTCTCTCGCTCTCTCTCGCTCTCTCTCGCTCTCTCTCTCTCTCTCTCTCTCTCTCTCTCTCTCTCTCTCTCTCTCTCTCTCTCTCTCTCTCTCGCTCTCTCTCGCTCTCTCTCGCTCTCTCTCTCTCTCTCTCTCTCTCTCTCTCTCTCTCTCTCTCTCTCTCTCTCTCTCTCTCTCTCTCTCTCTCTCTCTCATCTCTCATCTCTCATCTCTCATCTCTCATCTCTCATCTCTCATCTCTCATCTCTCATCTCCCATCTCTCATCTCTCATATCCCCTCTCCCCTGTCCCTCCCTCTCTCCCTTTCCCTTGCTCTCGCTCTTGCTTTGTTTTTGTTTATTTCCTTTCTTTCTGTCACATGTCCCTTTTCTCCCCACCATCTGAGCATTCCCTCCCCCGCCCTGCCTGCCTGCACTCCGCCTCCAAAAGGCATGCTCTGAATCCCCGTCCATAGCCTTAGCGCCACGTAGGCGACCGGGTCCAGCGTGACGGCCGAGGTCTGTCGTAGTGCATGTGTGTGACACTTACCTCCTGTTGCAGATGTCCACTGCGTCAGGAGTGGGCGTGTTGGGCGTGGGCATCGCCGAGGGCGCGGGCGAGGACGGCAGCAGCATCCCCTTCATTGACGAGAGCGGGTCGTCGTGTGCGTCGTCCATGATGGGCGAGGAGGACGACACCGCCTCCCTCAGCAGACTCCTAGATGACGCCGCCTCGAGGGAGTTCAGCATCAACGGCCTCCACGACGACCTCGCGTCCCTCTCTTGCGGCTACGCGTCCCTCGATGCCCACAGCGGCAGTCACAGCGAAGGCCGCAGTGGCGCCCACAGCCGCAGCGACATGGGCAGCAGTGGCGAATCACAGGAGAAGTCCCGGACAGGGTCAGGCCGCTGGTCATGGCAGCGGTCATCTCCGGGCTCAAGGAGGACCTCCAAATCGAGCATTAAGTCCTCGGACAACCTGGAAGAGGACGTGCTGGACGCGGACGACGAGGACGAGAAGCCGCCGCCGGCCCTCCCGCCGTCCCTGCCGCCGTGCGACACCTGCGAAGACCGATCCTCTACCTCATCCTCATGCTTCACAGGGACGTCCTCCTCGGTGCTCTCGTGCACCACATGCGCCGCCGAGTCCGACAACCGACCCGAAACCGACCCGAAGAGTGGCGATCACCCGACGGATGACGTGGGACACCCGGTCCCCGCGCCCTCCGAGCACGACCAGGAGCAGGAGCAGGAGCAGGCCCCGCGCATAACCTGCAAGACGCCAGATCCGCCCGACTCCAAGATGATCATCCTGAGCAACGGAAACACAACCCCGCACCGCTTGAGCAGCACGCCCGAGGTAAGTGCAGTCTCGTGTTGCGTGCCACGATAACTGGTGTGGTCCTAACCCTGCAGACACATGCCCCCGTTGCACCTCACGTGACTCCCAGGGCGACGGGGGCTCTTATGTCGCATTGCTAGCAAGGTCGCCTCTAATGGTTGCATTACGTGCAGGAGGTGTGGAGCCCCGGAGGAGAGCCACCCGTGCCCCTGGTCACCTCCACCCCGGCGCCGCAGGGGAACAACAGCAACGCTTCCACAGTGGAACCCAAATACGTGGCTCCACATCACTACGTCTCCTCCATGCGGGTGGCGTCCATGAGAGGGGCGGCTGATATGGGCGGCGCCCTCGTGGCTCGCGTCGCTACCTTCCTGAGGACGCAGTACAAGAATCTGATCTCCAGCCCCCTGCAGCTGCCTTGGTGTCCTGGATTTAAGTGAGTCATTCATGAACGTTAATTGTTTCAGTTGTGGGATGTTGATTAGTTGTTAATTGATACCTCATTATGCTTTTTTATGTAGAGTTATAATGATTAGTTTAGATGTTTTGAATTTTTTGTTTAAACTGCATTTTTTTATGAAGGTTGTGCCTTTCTTATTTTGATCATTATCTGTTTTCAAATGGAGTCCCTTTGAAAGAATCTAATGTGAACCTTGTATTCTCAAAGTTATTTTCGTTCATAAGATCAGATGTAAAAGTTGGAATTTCTTGGCAATGAAAACTAATGTAAAAAACAGGTATTGCTGTTTTATGTATCCTCAATTAAGTATATTTGAGCATTTCTTTAATAGAATGATAATGTTTGAATCATTTTTATTAAAACCAAAATGATAAAAAGAATATAAAGATATTGTGGTATTACATTTGTTATATATGTGCTCAAAGCTTATCACAAATTGCAGTTTGATTACACAGCAAGTTGATAAATGAAAGTGATAAAGAATGTTTTAAATTTAGTATGAACGAGCAGAAAGCTGAATGGATCTCATTTCTTAGTAAGGAATTATTCAGGAAGTTACTTGAGCAAATTCAAGTTTTTCAAAGTAGGAACTTGTATAAAAACAGAGAACAAAAGCATCTGATTTAATTTTTTTTTCACTTCATGTTTATATACCATTGTTGTACAGGATGGTAGTGAGCGAGTTTGAGACCAGTTTAATACAAGTACCCTTGGCTGCTCACCTGAAGGTCCCGCCAGGGTTACTCACAGTTCCTTCCATTCTACAGCCACTTCAGGTAAAATCTCGTTTTCTTTAGGGATGTATATATAATTTTTCTGCCTCTTCTCGGTTATTATTTTTTATTTCATATGTATATTTTTTTATTGTATGGGTGAGTTGTTTTCTTTGGTTTAAGTATCTTTCATAATCTAATATTTTTTTTATAAACAGTTTTATCTGTTTGTCAGTTATTTTCCTTGAATAATTGTGTTAATGAGAAGTTAGTTCATATTTTACCATATCTGTTGAGATTTCAAACAGGTGTTTAGCTTAAAAACTTTACTAACACTGATGAAAATAAGAATTTAAAAATCTTCAAAGAAATTATTTAGTTTGTGGTTGATTAGTTATTTGTATTATTTTTGCTTTTGAACAATAATATATTAGTGGTTAATTGTGATTAGTTAATTATATTGTCATAAGTGAAACATTTTTTTTTTACTGGAAAAGAAGAGTTCTGGCATCAATTTGCTGAGTCAGGATTGAACCTGTCCTCAGCTGAATAGGCTAATAGAATCAGATTGTATCCAGTTTCATTAATGATGGATGGCTTTGATTTTATGCTGCATGTAATTAATAGGTGTGTAAGGTTCTAGTGTGGTATTTCCAATACAGAATGGATTTTTTGCTCTCTCTGAACACAAATATTGTTAGATAAGTCTTTTGATGTTAGCTAAGCCTTAATAATATGAAAAGTTTATGATAATTTCATAATAGCATTAAGAATCACTTTTGATTTAGGTGCCTTCTAAACATAATCTTTATTTCTGGTCTGAGTTTTATGGGCTATTTTTTTAAGAATTGATAGTTGTACAAATATTTATATTTTGTATTAACATGAGTTTTTTATGTTATGGTTATTGTTTAAACTTATTGTGTGCAGTTCATGCTGGAAATTGAATTATTTAACATAGCATGTGCTAAAAGAACAAAATTATTGCAACATGTCAGTGTTAACAGTGAGTAAGGCAGCAGAAGGAACAATTACATGTAAGCAACAGGGTTAATATACATATTTACAATTGAGAGGATAAAAATTATGATTGTAGTTCATAAAAGCATGCCACTTTTTACAGCTGTCATTCACTGAATCATCAATGGGGGACCGCCCAAAGCGAGTTTTAGTGGAGGGAGATCCAGGATATGGCAAATCTACATTAGCCCTGAAGTTAGCCTATGACTGGGCTACAGATCCAACAGGCTCACATCTGTCATTTTATAGGTATGGTTATTTTTAATTATTGGTTGTACCTGGACTGATATTATTGAAATGTTTTGATTATGATGATTATGATGAAGCTATTGATAGAGTAAAATTTAATGGAAGACTTGCAGTACCTAATTCCTCTCTACCTTTTCTCAGTTTGGTGTTTGTCCTGACACTGCGAGATTTCAGAGGAGGCTCTGTGTTCTCTCACCTCTGTAAGGAGGTCTTGCCAAGACATATTCTGAGCAAGGAGGCAATGAATACTCTATGGAATCATATGAAAAAGATTGAAGATAAGGTAAAATCTGAAATTTTCTTCATTGATATAATGTTGGATATGTATATGTAAGAAAAATTGCTCATCAGATATTTTTGTTTTACTGATAGTTTTAACTTACATGGAATCAAAGTAGACAAAATGAATTTTAGGTGAGTTAAACAATAGATTTTGAAAGAAAGAGTAAATTAAAATGCAGCAGTGCTGGAATAAAGAATTTAACTAATATATCCATTTAATCCTTATCTTCAGGTGCTATTCCTCTTGGTTGGATACGATGAACTGATTGAGGAGGAGAGTGGAGACATGAATGAGCTCATTGATGGTCAGATGTTCCCCAATGCGACAGTGGTTTTGACATCAAGACCTGGGTCCTCCAAGCCCCTCCCGCCATCCATGCACAGGCGACTGCTCATTGCTGGTCTTGCCCCAGACCAGACACATAGGTTCATCTCCCGGTACTTTGACACCATAAATAAACCTGGCAGTGGGAATGAGGTAAGGCCATAGGGCTCATTAGGTGTTGGAATAGGTCTTATTATTATGTCATGATAATTTAATGGTATGTTTTTATATTTTGCTTATTATGAACTTGGTTTGTTCCACTATGTGGAAAAATACATAGCAAACAACACTATGTGGATTACAACTACAAAGGCATAATTCTCAATTCTTCCCTTTAGGTGCTGTCTCTGATATCAGCAAGCAAAGAGAAATATGGAGACTTGATAACATGTCCCATAATGTGCCTGGCTCTGGGTGTCCTGTATGAAGACCTGGGAGGGAAATTACCATCCCGCCTCACAGATATGTACATGTCTCTCATCAAGCACATGATCAGGAAGAACTTGATCAAGCGAGGGGAACCCATGTGCTATGATGTGCTGCCTGATAGATATAATAAGTTGTTATCAGTAGGTATCACTAAGCATGAGGTGGTTTACTGAAGTGCATTTTTGTACATCAGTTAAATTAGGAAGGATTTTTTTTGGTCAATATTAGCTTCTTTATATGCACATTATTTAATACTAAATATAAAACAAGAAAATGAAAGCATGGAATTATTTCCCTAAGAAAATTAGTGTTTATATATTGTTATTATATAGATAATAGTAATTGTTATAATGTAGATTCTTCTAATTTGTTTATTTCTTTGTTTCACTGAAAATGGAATTGATGGAGATATGTTCTTTCCTTTTGCAGGACTTTGGGAAGCTGGCCTTAGAAGCACTCAAGCAGAACACCCCATATTTCACAGCACAGGACCTAAAAACCAAGTGTCAACACGGAGGAGAAATTGTTGAGCTTGGCATATTGTTAAGAATGCAGTCAATGTCCAAGTTGAGCAAGAAGGACTTTTACACTCCTGCACACAAGTCATTCCTTGAATTTCTGGCTGCCTTCTACCTGTCTGGCCTTATTCATGATACGTCTTTGCTGCAAACTGAAATTGACAGTATTGCAGAAAAGATGGATATAACTCATCCCATTTTAAGGTATGTTCATTTTTTTTTACTTGCTCATTAGTTGAGCTTGTGAAGCTAAAAATTCTGTATGGAGATATTATTATCATTTTGTATTATACATATACATAGATATATATATATACTTATTTAATTTCATCATCATACAGACAAAACTCCGGCTTGATGATCCTGCGATACCTAGTGGGACTCCTTGGAAGAAACGCCCACATCGTCTTCAACATTGTGTCTCAGATGGGAGTTCCTCAGAGGATCCTTTTCCTCCTGTTGAAAGAAAGCGGCATGTACCAGATGAATGTGTTAGAGGTGAGGGAGAGAGATAGATTATGGGTTGGATTGTTTTCCCCTTTTTTTTTTTCTTTTCTTTTCTTTTCTTTTATATATATATATATATTTTAGTATAAGGTAACAAAATGCCCAAACAGGTTGAAATTTTCTTTTTTGATTGACTGCATGAAATGAAACTGAATGGCAGGTAAAAGGCATCTGCGTAGCATGGAATAGGAGGAAAAAGAGGATTTATTCACAATCAGACACTCAAGAGGTCCATACAGGCATTTGCAGATATTTCCACATACTAGTACACACATGTAAAATGAATGAGGAAAAAGTCCTTGGTAATTCAATACAAAATGGATGAAAATACAATTTCCCCCAAAGCCTCCCTTTCCTATTGGAAGTGTTCTAGGTACTCTTGCTAGAAACATAATGTGAAATGACTAGAAGAAGTCATTTTTAATGCCCTTTTCCTGGTTATTTTATGATACATTGAGAGGTATGAAATTTTCTTCATTTAATGAAACAAGTTAAAACTGATAGGGAATGTAGGTGGGCAGTAATAATCAACACATAATTAGTACACTATTTGAGAAGTTACAAGAATTTCTTCTAGAGCATACTTTCCCTCTGTAAGATCTCCAAATTTGTCTGTTAATTCATTTTTCTACTTTTCCCCAATATTTATTAATTTGATATTCTGAACACTTCAATTAAAAATACATGTATGGAAGGTAGTTTTCAAACAATTAGGTATCATTTTCATTCTACAATTTTGAATAGACTTCTCTTGACATGGCATTTGCATATGATGTCACATTTAGATAAGTCATTAAATAAACATGGCATTTGTTCATGCTACAGGATTTTATTGTAAAGTATTAACGCATGCTGTTGGTGAATGCAGTATACACAGCCCAGTACTAAGTACGAAGAAACAGTGAAATTACCATCTGTGTAATGTGTTGTGTTAGCTAGTCTCTTCATAATTTCTCTTATATTACTGTCTGCACTATCTATTGTTACTGCTGGTTAATCTGAAACTTCTTGAAAGGGCTGACTCAGAGGTGCAGTTAGGATATTTTGTCCCTGCTAGATTTACTCTTCTGCTGATTTTCTTTTCGTGTTTAAGCTCTCCTCTTTCTCTTTTATCTTTTCCTCCATCTCCTGGTTGTCTCCTTGTGAATAGCATTGTCTATATTGTTCCACAGCATTCAGTAGTCTTTTCTTGTTTTTTCCTCCTTTACTAACAACCTTTCTTGTCTTTGTAAATCTGTGACTACTGCACGTTCATAGCATCATGTACATAGGTACAGTTTGAGTTCGTGAGGCAAGTTTTAATGCAAGATGCAAAGACATTACATCAGAATATTCCTCCTGCTTTTGAAATACATTAGCATGAGGACCAACCACATTATAAGTAGTAGATGTGGCATTAAGCACTTGCATGATGTTCTTAGAGTTTCTTTTCCTTGATGAGGTGACACAGTTCCATTGATGTCAATATTTGGCCTCCTTTTCTCCTTTTCTTTTTGCTGCAAAGGAACGAGCTACTAACATGTACCAGAAGCTGGTAGTGGAGGTAAGAAACAAAAGACAAGACAGTTGTACAATATATGTTAACATTTTGTATTAAGGCTAGTGGTTTATTATTGTGTTTTGGGGAAAGGAATGATTTTACCTCACGGCAACTGTGTGGTAAAAACCTTGATTTTGATGTTGTGTTTTACTGTATTTGTATAGAAGAGGACTGTAAATGGGTCCTTTGTACTGTGTTTTTATTTGTTTTTATCATTTTATGATTGTAAAGGAGATGATAAGCAAAAAGATCTTCAGTAATCTTTAAATATCCACATGTGAAAAAGGAAAGAATATTAGATGTCTATAAAACATCAAAATAATCATATTTTTTTTCCTCCCATAAAGGTATGTAAACACGTATCAGGCCGGGAACACGTCGTAATTCAGACTAATTCTGCGGAACTAGAAGACTGGGGTCGTTTGCTATACTCCCCTGACTGTATGCTGGAAGGAGTGGATGTGCTGTTGGACTTTGACGGGAGTTCAAGAGACAGACATGAGTCGTTTTTCACATCCATGTCATTTAATGAGAGTGTCAAGAGTGTCAAACTTACCTGTGTCGTTGGTGGGGACTTTGGCGAATCTGAAGTAAGTTCTGTTTGGATTAAGGTTGTTATCTGTAGTTTTGATCCTTTATCAGTTTTGAGCAAAAAAAATTGATACTTTATAGAAATAGAAAACTGCAGGCATTGTTATAAATTTGAAAACAATCCACAAATAATTAATAAAGTCATTCCCTTATCACCTTCAAAGGTAACAAGACTTGTGTCATATGTGAGAGCCGTGCTCACCAAGCGTCGACTAGAGTCTTTTGAGATTCAGGTGACATCGCTGGAAGAAGCAACTGCCGAGATCCTGAGTCCTGTTGTGGACATGATTTGCGACACACTCCCCGACTTGGCTCAGGCCCTTAATAAGCTTGTTGTTGCATTAGAACTGGATGCTGAACAAGTTAGTTTTTGCAATCTTATTTTTTTTTTAAGTTTTCACAGGTTTATATGATTCCAACCATTCTTTTGACCCGGTATTCAAATGTGATATAATCAATTTTTGAAAATATATTGTAAAGGAAATATGAGATACAATAGTTTATATAAGTGTGTGTGATACTCTTTCAGGTTGTACAGTTGTGTCAAGTCCTGCAGAATGCACCACATGTACAAGTGCTTCATCTTCCTCACCTGGCTTGTGGTTTGGACGGCTTGAAGGCAGTTGCACAGATTGTTGAAAACAGTCCCCTGGTGTCACTCAATCTTGCAGGGTCTCTCAGCTCTGGCACTCCAGTAAGTGGAAAAGGACTTTCGTCATCAGATCCCATTTTTATTATGTTTAAAGTTAATAATGATTATTTTTTTGGGAATAGCACCAACACCAGTTAAAGATATTATATTATAAAGTGAAAGGTGGATGAACATTTATTCATAGTAAGAATTAATTATGTGAGCAAAATTTAGTGATGTGCGTGTGCATGTGCAAACATGTATATATGTGTTCTTATGTATATGTGCTTATGCTTGTACATGTAAACACAACCATAAGTACACAAAAAATATGTAACTAAAAAGATAAAAAAAAAAGTGGCTTCATTTAACCTAGCATCTTCTCTGTGGCTCTCAGGTAGATGAGCGTTCCACAGGTACAGGAGCCAGCACACCCTCACCAACTAGGGAAGACGCCCCAGCGCCACTCTCTTTCTGGAGTTTCACTGATGCGCAGGGGAATACCAGGTCTGTGTTCAACTCTCTCCCACGATCTTTCTACCAGTCACTTCCTGGTCGGGGGAGATTGCACTCTCTCTCAGCAGAAAAGAGAAATTCAGACACAACGCTCCTTCAGAAAACATCTTTCCCACCACCAGCATGCAACCCCATTGTTCATGCTAATGGTTTTCATGAAGTAAGTTGCAAATGCTATTGACACTTGCTAAACTTTCAGACATGGATTACATATATCATTGGGCAGAATAGAAAAAAAAATTATTCTTCAACAAGTTGTATTTTTTAACAAAATGTCATAGATATTGAACTCTTGCTTTCCAGATATTTGCAGCATTCCGCAACCCAGCCTCAAGAGTGTGCCACCTGAACATTAGCAAATGCACAATGGGGGCAGAAGACTTGGTGTGTCTTGGGGAAACTGTACGCTTCACCAAGTGCCTTTCATCACTTAGGATGGAGGGGCTGTCAAGAATGGCAGAGATTATCCCAGTCCTTATAGCTTTACAGGTTTGTTTACTGATATGTGTGTTGTGTTAGGGATCTAAATGTCTTGAATAACACTGCTAAGAAAGTAATACAATGAATTAAAAAAAAAATAACATTATTGTCATATACTATATGTAAGTCTAAAAAAGAAAAATGGAGTGATATTATTTTGTTATATATAGAAAATTAATAAAGATTTCAGATTAAGAAGCAAAATTAGTATTGTTATTGTAATGGTTGTTATTATTGTTATTGAAAAAAATAGAGCAAACTGTTAAACACAAGAAATAGATAGATTATTTTGCTCTTTCAGGAGAACACAACTTTGCAACTTCTTGACCTGACATCCCCTCATATCCTCTTGGGAGATGCTGCCCTGCAAGTCACTCTTAATGCTTTAGCTAAGAATAAGTCCTTAAGGTTTCTCGTCTTGAATGGCTGGACCATCCAAGTTGAGGTAAGTCAAATTGCTTTGGGATTAATAAGCATACTTGTATATCTATTTCTATATACATATTTCTAATCTTCCTTAGAAATATGAATGAATCTTCTATATAGTCATATTTTTCAGTGATATAAAATTGTAGAGCTGAATAATATATTTTGAAAATATGGGCCCTATTAGTTTTAAACCTTTGATTTTATTTATTTATATATATATATTTTTTTTTACAGAGTGAACGGTCACTGAAGGAGTTGATCCGTTTTCTTAATGCAACAGAACTACAGCATCTTGACCTCAGCAATTGTCGAGTAATTGTCACTGTACATGATGGGGCTCTTGCGCGTCTCTCCAGGCAGGATGATGTCATAGCAGCTCTTCAGGAGTCTGTTCCTCCTTTACATAACAACACTTTGGCATTCCTGAACTTGGATCACTTTGAGGTCAGATTATGTGTTACTTGTGTATTGTTAGTGTGTCAGATGCAGCAGAGTAGTTCAGAGACGCATATGTATATTTCTTACAGTCATTTTTTCTCGCAGCCATTTTTTCACTAAGTAATCCACGATGTGTTTTTATAATCTAAGTATATTGTGATCCTATGGGTCAGCATCAGAGATTTAAGAAACTGTTGCACTGTGGTATTCATTTGAACCTCTTTTCCTCTTTTCCAGGTGACTCTAAATAGTAAAGTTGTCCTTCGAGGGCCACAGCTACTCTTTATGCTCCGACATTTCCCCAAGCTTGTTGATGTCTCACTGGCATCTAACTTAGGAGCAGACATTATTAACGATTCCACAACTCACAGGCTTTTCTCCCTCTTGCCGGGATCCTTCCCCTTCCTGCGAAGATTGACTCTTGGTGGCTGGGTGTTCTCGCTTGATAACTGTGAAAAGGTAGGTGGTATATTCTTTTATCCAAGAATAATCAGAGTATTTAGTGTTTTTTAAAGGTTTGGTTAAAAGATACAACAAATTCCTTTTTATAGCTGAAGATAGATAATTAATATGAAATCAAACTATAGAATTATTAATGAAGATTCTTGGTGCAGTTAGTGTATATTTATTTCCAATTTACATATATAGTCATTCTCACACATAAAGCATTTCTATCAATCTCATTGTACTGAGCTGAAAAATTTGATGAAATTCTTCATTGTTACAATTTAACTTCAATAGGTAATGCGGGCTGGAGGGAAGCAGCTCAGAGGCAGCCAGCTTCGCGAAGTTATCCTCACTGGCGTTGAAGTGCGGGAGTCCAGTGGGACGCCAGGAATGGAACACACACTTTTACAGGCTCTCACAACCAACCTGCATCACCTGTCAATCTTGTCTCTTGCTGGCTTGAAACTTTCGGCAAATCAGGCAGCTATATTTGGGAAGGTATTCATGCTTTCTTTTTATTTCATTATTGTGTCCTGCTAAAAGCTATAGATTTATAGTATTCACTTTCATTCTTGTTTGATATTTGCTGTAGTTTATCATTTTATCAAACACCAGCTTTTCCTCCTTCTACTGCTATTCTGTCTTTATCTTTTTCCTTCCGCTCTTCCACTTTCACTCCTCATTCCTATCAAGTCGTTTAGATTGTGGAAGAGAATAATGTACCAGGGTATTTGACTGTCCTTCCCTTTCTGGTTTATATTTTTTAATAATTTATATTCACAAAAAAAGTATTTTTACAAATGTTTGAATGAATAAGTATTCAACCCAATGCTGCCAGGGAAAATTAATTTAAAAATGGGGAAAATGCTGTACTCATTTTTTATATTTTTGTGAAATGTCTCTGTGCATAGATGGCTCTGCTAGTGCTTAGCCACAATGGAGTCAATTAGTAGACCTTGTCACCTTACCTGATTTCACCTTTCCTTGAATTTGTGGTAAAAACATATTTTTTACCAGTGCTATGAATATCGCTGGTGTTAGTTTTATTATAAGCATTATAATTACTATAATGTTATAAACATTAATAACAGTAAAATATAATGTAAAAATGTAATAATGTAAAAAGATAATGTAAAATATTTTTGTAAATCAAGGAAAAGGGTAAACGGCCGAGACAGGCAGTACTCGTAATTGGCTCATTGGTGACTTAGTACAAATGTAGCCATCAAAACAATTAAACAAGTAAACTCACGTCAGCATTGGGTTAAGTAACCATTATGCACGATGCCATTATTTCTTCTAAACTTTCTTTTTACTCTCCAGACAATACGAGATAAACTAGCCACCACAACCCTGGAACTGGAAACTCGAGGGTTAGGATACACCACAGTCAAAGCTCTCCGGCAGGCAGTAACTGAGGGTGGAAGATATGAGTTTGACTTCTTGGGTGGCCCCCTAGGAATCTATAAATTGAGTAAAATTGATAGAAGAGAAAAGTTAATTGGGAAATGGGCCTGCATATCCACATTAGATAGACTGAGTGAGTTATAAAAAGAATGCAATACACATGTGATATTCTACTGTCTGTAAACCTTACTGTCTATACACTCATGTTTAAGGATAAAAGATTTTTTTATGAACCTGTTAGGTATGTGAATCTCCTATCTTTTTATTTTAGTGATACCTTTTTGTGGAGGAAACTTCTGATATTATAAGAGTAAAGGAGAGGATTGACACTGAAAAATATTAAATTATTAATAAGATATGGACTGATGTTTATAAGAGTGCTGAAGGAAATTGCCAATGGTTTGCATGATAACCCATATACTGCTGTATGCCTCTTCAGTGACAGAGCATAGGACTGCTATGTGCTTCATGAGAACAGGTTTCAAATTGACACTTATGAATATCCTGTTATTTTACAACCATATCTTTTCTTAATCTGGTATTTTTTAATGTTGGTAACTGTCTGTTTGAAGTATTCCCCATCTTCATCATTTGTAGTTGGTCTTTCCCTTACTGGGATCATGAAAAGACTTTTTTCCTGCAACATAGCTACATTGCGGAATGCGTGCAAAACAAGCACACTGTAGTATATGGGTTAAACTAATCTTCATTGATGTTGTAGATGATAAAGTTTTAATGATATTATGAAAATTGTTAAGCATTATGAACTCCATTTCTCATAAAACGCTTATTGATGTTCTATGACTATTAGTGGCTTATTCAGCTGTGATCAGAGAAACTTTTTCTGTGAGATGAAGGAGACTGAATTAATACCTCTCCTAAAGCAATATACAGTATACTCTGTGTATATGTGTGTGGGTGCTTGTGTGTGTATTGCTGTATATGTACATAAAAGCATACATACATTTTCATAAGATATGTACACACACACACACACACACACACACACACACACACACACACACACACACACACACACACACACACACACACACACACACACACACACTCACACACTCACACTAACACACGTCTGTTTGTGTATATGTACATTTACACACAATCATAGTTTCACATGAACACTGAGGTTTAACCTCAGGCAATCACTTCAGGTGAACACCACTTCTGCCACCCCACCGATGCTGCCCCACATAGCGAGGGTTGGCTGGCTGTCCCATAACCTACCTGCGGGGGTCCCATGGGCTTTGCCCCATAAGCCTCACAGGTTGATGGCCACTGGGACACAGATGGGATGACAGGTAACCCCTACTCCCAGACTGAATCCCAGCAGTCACCAACTGAGTGGGACCCACAGCCTGCCTTACTTGCTGGGTAAGAGGGACAATTGCCCTCCCCTCAGCACCAACAACTATACATTTTGTTGCTAGTTGGGTAATCTTATTTTGGGGAGGTGGACTGGCAAGGCCTGCCTCCCCATAGCCATCCATTAACCCCAGGGGGCACAGTTGCAGGAGTTTGTATGAAAGTATGAAGCCAGAGCATGTCCACACACTGGTGGGCTAGCCTTTAGGGCCTCCTGCTGCTCCAAGAGCCTCCACAGTTCAGCCTAGGACTGCAAGGTAGTTAGTTTCCATGGGTGACCATGAGGAGGCACTGCAGAAGTCTTGATGATGGAGAGGCTATGAGCTGGCAGGGGAGTCTTAAGCACAGCTGCTCCCTTTTCGTACCAGGCTAGCCAGCGGTGGCAGCATGAAGGCATACAAAGCACTTAACACAAACTAGGCTACCACACTATCACTTCACATCACCCTGAGCATGAAGCACCCACACACAGTTAATGCTGGAGACTAATTCCTGGTGATGATTTTAGGGCATAAGATTATATTGAAGTTTCATGGCATTTTAATTCTTTTTGTTTTTGGAAATGAAATTCTTCCATATAGATCATTTAGTAACATTGGTGCTTTCTGTCCCTTCTGTGCTTCCTGAAAATTGCCTGTAGAAAAATTACAATTGTTAGTAGGCATATAATGTTTTCCAGAATATAAGGATAAGGAACAGATTACATATAAACACACTGAACCATGTACTGACTATGAATAATGATTAACAATTGTGTTGTTGGTATTCCGGATGAAGAAGCATTTCCAAGCATATGTTGTACTCCACACTCATTATAGCTCATCACTTGTACTAAAAGCATTATTGCAGGTGTAGTGTATATATAAAATGATATTTTATTGGAAAAAAAGGTCTTTCCAGCCTTTGCAGAATATAAACTTGGGTCTACATTATGATGGGCTAACATAGAGGTAACTGTCTGTGTAGTTAGTTTGTATTTCATTTATAGAATTTGAAAGTATTGGTACAATATTCTGATTGTAATATTTTATTGTTTTTGAACTGTAATTTATTCAGTTCAGGCAATGAAATATTGTAGTGTTGTTTTTGTGAATATCAGTCATTTTATAAGGTGAAAATACTGATTATAAAAATAATTCAGTATTATTAATGTTCACAATGAAGTATCTATTTTTTTTTAGTTAATTTACAGACAATTTTAGAAAAGTAAAGGATTGGTACATTCATTTATGTAGATGATTGTGAAGACAGTTAATTTTTTGTATTATTGTTTATTTGTAGCTTCCATTTATTTCTTTGTTTTTGGTATAAACCTACTGAAGAGAAATTTAGTATACCATGTTTTTTCTTTCTGCAAAAATATATACTTTTATTCTATGCATTTTATCATATTGATAAGCTTTTACTTTCTTTTATTTTTTGTATTATATATATTTATAAAGCCTGTAGACACTGTGTTGAAAATTTCAACAGAGAACTTAGCAACCTGTGGATTACTGTACTGTATTTTGTATAGATTTATGGTAGTATTGAATGAGCCTTCAAGGTGAAATCTTTGATGTACATAGACACCACAAGTGAAACCTGACTATATGCTCTTATATTCTCAACTTGAAGGTGGTAAATGTGTAATATAACTTACCTTTTAAAACATGATGATAGATCTCAGCTCATTTTTGATGGCAGCCACAAGTGCTTGTAAGGAATCATGTTCCAGTAAGATTTACTTTAATTTTATCATTTTTGTCATCAGTGTCATAGATTTTTTTTAAGTGTTTTGTATTACTACTTTTTTGAGAAATGACAGGTTTTGTTCAAGCTGAGGCATTGGTCATTTTCACTATATGAAATGTAAGGCTTCTGCTTAGGGAAGAAAGACAGAAGAAAAATTTATGTAAGTTCCATACATATTCCTTGAAAAGAAAATGCCCAAAATACATGTTGAGACCATTTAAAAGCAGAGGTGCCTAAAATGGCACAATGTAATGCTGTATTTCAGGGGTAAATATTTGTGGAAACACTGTTAAGAATATGATGATTAGGTAAATTGAGGTTATTCCATGTGCTTGTTCAATATTTGGAAGTCAGTACCCAACCTACTTGTTAAATGTTTGAAAATCTTCACATTAATAGTTCATTAATCACCTTCGCATACCAGTGATTGAAAAGAACTTGAATAGAGATTCCTAATATTCCTAATGATAAGGGTGCCATAAAAGCAGATTTGGATGAATGGTACTTGGAAGCAATAATTAATATAATTAGTTGATTTGATTACAAATTATAGTTGGCAACCTGTGAGAACTTTATGGTATTTTTATAGTTCAGGAAAGACATATATATATATAAAATGTTTATTGAGTGTTCTGAATGATTCTTTGTTATTTCATATTGTGGTTTGCAAGATGTTCAATTTTCATATCAGAGGTGTTGATTTCATTTGATAGGAAAAAAGGATGCATTAAGTTAGCATGTACTTTTGTGCAAAAAGTAATCTATGCATTTTTATAAACTCTGGAACATGTAGCAGTTATGTACATATATTAAGTTAAGATCATTGTAATGTAAAGGACAGCACAGTCCATTTATTTAGCAATACACAGTTTCTGAAAATGATTCACTAGTCATTTGCATTGCATTCATATCTACTGTATTTCAGAATACATGTGTACCCCCAAATACATAATGATAAATACCTTTTCCAACTGACTGGGTTGTAATAATAAAAATGTCCTGGGGTGTAGCATGAGATATTGCTTCACTTTTGTACATATCAGTTGCAGATCTGATGGAATCCATGACCTAGTTCTAAAATCATTTTCCCATTATCACAATTTTAGACACACACACACACACACACACACTCACACACACACACACACACACACACACACACACACACACACACACACACACACACACACACACACACACACACACACACACACTCTCACTTTCCCTCTTGTAATTGGAAAGAAGCTTTGTGTATATTTATCCATAAGTTTGTGTATTTGTACATATTTAGGAACCTGCATACATTTTGGAGAATAAATTGGTCTTTTAATACAAATGTAGATATATATATATTATCTGTCACATATATGGGAATCTTGTTTTAGAGGTGGTTCATTCAAGGTTCAAAGTATATACAGTATATTAATGATTATTTACCCTACAGTATTTCCTTGGTTGTGCTGCGCCCCATCCCGTGATATAAATAAATATTGAGGACATATTTATCTTTTATTACCATACCTTTTCATGCATGTTTAGCAAACTGATGATTGGTTTTATGTCTCAGATTGCCTTGACTGCAAGGGCTAGGACAGTTTTGTCTTTTTCATTACATTTTTTTAAAGTCAGCTAAACTAGAATTAATACTATAAAAAGAAAATTAATAAGATTTTCAGGCTACCACAATCAAAATTTTGAGTACTGTCATCAGGCTTGGGCCAAAGTCAGGGCAAAAACGAAATAGTCACCCTACCACATCATTCAGCTTGCCCCTTTATTGACATGTACTGCACTTGCATATGACAACCAAGTGTGACTAATAATGTAATATCAGTAATAGCTAAAATTAGGGACTTACTGAAGGAAGGGACAGGATGCCTGATGTACTTAATGCTCATTGCACTGACATATGTATTTTCCCATTCAGCATATATGGGATTAAAGTTGTTCAAAATTATGGCAAATCAGAGGCCTGTACACTCCTAGTTATTGGGAGGTAAATCTACTAAATCTTGTCTTTCCTTATGTGTTATATGATGAATACTAAGCAGATACCTATGCTGAACAAAAAGTAGTTTTTGTTAAAGTCAAGTCGTTATGGATAATTGGAATAGATATATCTTCCTTACATATATGACAGTAGAGAACTATATTCATAATACAAGATTTTTTATTTATTAAATTAACAACAAACACAAAACCAACACATCCATCGAATATAAGACAATGTTAACACTTCCAATTGAGAAATGGATGAATCAGATCAAATGTGTTAGCAGGTTACTTTATATCAGATGAGAAATAAAATATGCAGCATCAGACCACTTGAAGGCAGACTGTGTGAAGCTGGGAACGGTTAAAGATATTACATTTTTTTAAAGTCAGCTAAACTAGAATTAATACTATAAAAAGAAAATTAATAAGATTTTCAGGCTACCACAATAAAACTTTTGAGTACTGTCATCAGGCTTGGGCCAAAGTCAGGGCAAAAACGAAATAGTCACCCTACCACATCATTCAGCTTGCCCCTTTATTGACATGTACTGCACTTGCATATGACAACCAAGTGTGACTAATAATGTAATATCAGTAATAGCTAAAATTAGGGACTTACTGAAGGAAGGGACAGGATGCCTGATGTACTTAATGCTCATTGCACTGACATATGTATTTTCCCATTCAGCATATATGGGATTAAAGTTGTTCAAAATTATGGCAAATCAGAGGCCTGTACACTCCTAGTTATTGGGAGGTAAATCTACTAAATCTTGTCTTTCCTAATGTGTTATATGATGAATACTAAGCAGATACCTATGCTGCACAAAAAGTAGTTTTTGTTAAAGTCAAGTCGTTATGGATAATTGGAATAGATATATCTTCCTTACATATATGACAGTAGAGAACTATATTCATAATACAAGATTTTTTATTTATTAAATTAACAACAAACACAAAACCAACACATCCATCGAATATAAGACAATGTTAACACTTCCAATTGAGAAATGGATGAATCAGAATCAAATGTGTTAGCAGGTTACTTTATATCAGATAGAAAATAAAATATGCAGCATCAGACCAACTTGAAGGCAGACTGTGTGAAGCTGGGAACGGTAAAGATAAAACGACTGATATTCTACCATTCCTTTTCATTACATCATATAGATTACCTCTCTGAAAAGGATTATGTTTCTTGTATATGTCAACTTGATCTTTTGCCAATAGCTGTGGAACTTACTCATTGCCCATACATTTTGAAGTATACCTGATTAAAGGCTGGCCTCCTGTGTAGACATTATGTCATGCTCATTAACCCAATGCCGCCAGGGAAAATGAATAAAAAATGGGGGAAATACTGTGCTCATTTTCTATATTTTTTGTGAAATGTCTCTGCACATAGATGGCTCTGCTAGTGCTTAGCCACAAAGGAGTTAATTAGTAGATCTTGTGACCTTATGTGATTTGAATTGGCAGGTAAAATGTATTTTTTACTAGTGCTATGAATATCGATGGTATTATTTTTATTATAAACATTATAATAACTATAATGTTATAAACATTAGTAACAGCAAAATAAGATAACACATAATGTTTTCATAAATCAAAGAAAAGGGTAAACGGGCGAGACAGGCAGTACTTGTAATTGGCTCATTGGTGACTTAGTACAAGTGTAGCCATCTATGTGTAAAAACAATCAAACAAGTAACTCATAGTGGGCATAGCATGTACGTACACATCATGCCCATCAGCATTGGGTTAATCTCTATTTCAGATCCACAGATTACATATTTTAATACTGTGTGTAGGCAAAAGCAGTGCATTTTGCATGACATCCATGTTAGTTTTGTCACAAAAATCATTGTCTTGTAGCAGCTGCTTGTAAGACATGGGGCTGGGTGCAAAATTCCTATTTGAGTTTTACAGTGGAGGGATAATAATTGAATTATAGCACTTCATCCACTGGTAACTCATGTACAGGGTATCATTTTTGTTAGCTACAGTCAGTACAGTCACCACACTGTTTCTTCAGTTTACTTTAGTTGACCATAATATGCATTTTCACTTTTTCAAAAATATTATTAATGTCCAGATTTGTAGAGAACTCATATATGTGCTCATAAGTTACTAACACAAGAAATATGGCTAAAATCTTCTTACCTCCCTTATGATTTCCACTGATTTCCAAGAACTGCTGGAAAGTATGCTCTGATCCTGACAGGGGCTGCAAGAGAAAAATGTAAACAGACAAATACAAATAATACAGCAGGTATTTAGTAGGTATTTAGCAGGCAGAGAATAAGGTAAATTATCTAGAGTTTATGATCCATTGTTTCCTCCAGTGTCAGGATTTTATGATACAACCAGATTAGCACTCTTTGGAGATTAATACAGCTATATTCATAATAATAAAATTAATACAGCTATATTCATAATAATAAAATTAATACAGCTATATTCATAATAATAAAATTAATACAGCTATATTCATAATAATAAAAATAATACAGCTATATTCATAATAATAATAAAAACATTAATATAATACTGCTGGGAAATTGATTGGTATTGTTATCATCATTATCACCTATTGCAAATATTATTGCCTTATAAGCATGATCATTATCTTCGGCAAATTAGATTTTTTTCCCATTCTGATTTCCAAGGAACAATATCTTTATTCTTTTTTGGACAGCCGTTACTGATGTACTGTTCTCAGTTTGCTCCTTGTTTTCTTCTGCTTCACTTATGCCAGGGATGTCAAATTCATTTCCGCCTTTGGACCAGATTATAAAATGTATACACATCATGCATTCCATAGTAAAAGAACCTACTTTTGTAACTGTCTAAATTATAATAATATGGAATGATATATAAAGACACCCTTCAGTCTGCCTGTCTGCCTTCTTCCATTCAATTTAATTTCTATTGTATCCATACGCATCCAATATCAAATAGGCCATGCAACCTTAATTCATATGTCATTTTTGGAATTTCTGGTATCTTCATCGCCTTTTATGAGTATTAATTTCGTCATGTAATTCTCTCACATTGTCCCTATCCACAGAAGATTAATATTTAATCATTTGTATTATAAGGGATGAGTTTAATCATTTCTTTTATAAGAGATGAACTTTTTTTTTTATAAGAAATCAATTTAATCATTTCTTTTGTAAGTGATGAATTTAATCATTTCTTTTATAAGAAATTAATTTCATAATTTCTTTTGTAAGAGATAAAAACGTTTAGTAACTTAAAGTCAGACTACTCGAATATTTAATTGATTTTTTTAAGCGACTGAGAGTGGTGACGATAAGCAAAATGACTTATCAATTAATTTTTATTACAATAAGATACAATCAATACAAATGTAATTTACTTCACAAAATATCCATTGCAAGAAAACCATGAATATTTGTTGTGTCGAAGGCAAAATGTGAGCCTTAAACATATTACGTTACATCCAATTATAATCTTGACAAGGTAATCTGTGCTGCTGAACTTTTTTTACGGCCGAACGAAACATGATTCACTTCGTCCTTTTACCTCATAGCTTTAAGATGTACTTCATTTCACGGAGAATGTATCATTTCCCTTTTTTTCTCTTATCAATTGGTCAGATAAGTAACTAGTTTATGCTTTGCCTCCTTTTAAAATGAAATAAGTCCTTTACACGTTGATGATATGGAGTCTAAGACGAACTAAATATTAAATGAATAGTTTTTACATTTGAAATTATTTTTACTATGGAAGGCTTGTTGAAGAACACGTTGCATTGGCAATTAGCATGAAAGCTTGCCTTAAATGCAAATCAGTTAAAAAGATAATGATAAAAATAAAGAGAAAAAATAAAACACATTTGAGAGCGAGAGAACATTTGGGCATAAATTTGCGTATCTTTTTTTAGCACTTACACAGTCACTAGAAGTGTCGAAAACAACTTCCAACGTGGATTTTCACTTACAGAAATATTATTCTGAAAGTTCCTATGCTATTTCCTTTAACATTGTGAATGAAGAAAACACTACCTTGTTGATACTATGGTAGAAAAACTCACAATTTAAAATCAGTATCCATAAAGAGAACTACGATAGGACTGGTAGAAAAACCAACGATGCAAAAACTACATTTGATTATTTACTGTATACATATATATATACATTTCATATATATGTATATATATATATATATATATATATATATATAATATATATATATATATATATATATATATATATATTATATATAATATATACATATCATATTTACAATATATATATATATATAATATATATATATATATATATATATATATATATATATATATATATATATATATGCGCGTGTGTGCGTGTGTGTGCGTGCGTGTGTGTGTGCGTGTGTGTGTGTGTGTGTGTGTGTGTGTGTGTGTGTGTGTGTGTGTGTGTGTGTGTGTGTGTGTGTGTGTGTGTGTGTGTGTGTGTGTGTGTTTGTGTGTGCGTGTGTTAAGAGAGAAAAAGAG